CCATAAGCCGAACATGCTTCAGTAAACCTTTCAGACTTGAAAAGATCATTCCCACGAGCACGCGCTCGGCCCACCAATCTCACATTATTGAGCATAACCGAGATTTCAACATTACGTGGGTCAACTTTTCTCGCTTTCTCAACATCTGTAAGTGCATTTTCAAACCTGCAGGTATTCATCATACATCTCATACTCTGAATCTTTATTTCCTTTTGTCTGATGGAGTGCAAAGGTTCTGAAACTCACCTCCCTCTTGCCAACTCAATTTGGGCTCTAACAAAGAATATATATGCTTCAAAAAGCATCCCGAAAATCTTCCCAGTAGACAGTTCAAATTTAGGAATGTCCGAGATTGCTAAAAAAGCATCGTCTAGTTGGAGGAGCTTCAAGAGAGCTTCTGCTCTACATGCACAAAGCTGTTGATTCATATGCAACCAGTTCAGTAACAGCACTTACCTTTCCCATTCTGATCAATAGGAGCATTTTGGCTTACCTTCAAGAGCATAAAGTTACTTAAAAGAAACTTTTATTTCCAAAATTTCCAAACACGTTAGATATGCTACTATCTTTTTCCTTACTTTCAAGTAAAAGAAATACCCATTTTAAAAGTTTACTCTTACCTTAACAAGTAGTTATAATTCTCAATTTTGATTAATGGCATACTTTCAAACATATATACTTAAAACTTTTTAGAATTTAGCCAAACAAGCCCTAGGTCAACAATCGAGTAGATACGTAGGAAGTACTAACCTGTGGTGAGGCATCAGCACCAGAAGCAATGGCAGCATCAACTTCACTCAATGTATTTCTCCAGTCACCAACTCTCCGGGCATCAGTGCACTTGTTTAGATGCTTCTCAACTGCTTGCAGCTTCTGCAACTCGACTGCATCTGCCTGATACCCTGGGTAACAAAGGTGCTTTCTGGCATTCTCAACCTGTCCTAAACTACAATCCTTGGATAAATTAGGTTGCTTAATGCAAAATGGACAATAAAAAGTGGGAAAAAGGACATCTACAGCAAATGGAGATGAAAATCATTCACAAACATGAGATTTTCATCAACGATTCTTTTAAGAGAAAACTGAGAAGAAGTCAAGTGAAAAAAAAAAAAAAAAAAACTGAACTAGTTCGACCACTACTCAGAACAATCGAGTGAACTCAAGTAATAATCCACGACACATTCCAAGCTATTAAGAAACTAAAATGTGGCTGTGAATCCTACTACTTCAAACCTTAATAGTGGCCCATTGCCACAGAAAATTTGTATGTCATCCAGCCTACAAACTTGGAGCCACAATAACAGAGAAGGAAAACATACAGTTGTCCGAGAAAAAGACCAATGATGGCCCTATCACAATGGGATCCAAAAAGAATACGTAGCAGAGACATTAGCCACAACGAAACAAATAAAAAACCAAAAAACAGAAATAATCAAATGAACCAGATCTAGCTCAAAACCTATTATAGAATCAAAAACTTTTCACCAGTGTAGATCACAAACACCACATTCTAAAGAATAACTATGAAACAGCATTGATTTTGCACCTATACCGAAAACCTGAATAGTTAACAAGCAAAAGATTAGAACTTTGTGCAAGGTCTCACCTAAGAAGCAAAGATCCTAAACGATGATGCGCCCTCACGTACCCTGGATCCAACTTTATAGCCTCTTCACATTCCCGAACAGCCTCAGCCAATCTCCTAAGCCCAATTAAAGTAGCGGCTCGATTGAAATGGTAAGCGGCATTGCTTGGGGATACGGCAATTGCTTTACTGTAAAAGGCTAAAGCCTCTGCAAAATTTCCCTTCCTGTAATTCTCATTCCCCCTTTTTTTCAACTCCTCTGCATCATCATTATTATATGTTCCCGTTCTCTTCACTGACTCTCCACCAACTATTAATCCTCTCGAGTAATTTATGGGTCGGCTGTCCTTTGTGACGCTGGGCTTTGATGAAGGACCACCCCGCATTATGCTGCCATGGCCGTAATTGCCCGTCCCAGACCCCAAAACGTCTGTCTTAGTTGGCCTACTGGCCATGCCGGTCTTTAAGACCCTGCCGGAAGGGCAAATGTTCCCGTTGGGGAGCACATTGACCGCTGGAGAGTTGACAGAGCCACCACTGGAGTAAATTAACTGGTGAGTACCGCCCGAAGCGGTGCGAGTATTACCAGGATTGGAGTTACGCACCGCCGATGGGGAACTTCCCACGGAACAACTCGAAAGCTCACCTGAGTGACTGTTGGAATTGGATTTCCTAGGTGGATTCGAGTGGACCCCGGCAGTGCTCCGGCCAGACACCGATCCAGAGGAACTGGAACTGCTGCTGGGTGTAGTGGCGGTGGAGGCACTGACTCTACAAGCCCGATGCCGCAGCGGCGAAACAGGCGATCCCAGATCGAGTTCCCGAAAGTCCGGCTTATTAACGTTGACACCGTTATCCTCTTCATCGTAACTTAGCGTATTCCTTAACCGATCCGACAGCGCTTGTAACCGTAGCTCCGACGTAGATTTCCCCTGATGCGACATTTTCACACACTCCCACACTCACTCTCCTCTATACAATCCTCTGTGTATACACTTTTCCCTCTCCGGTTGGGTTCTTTTTTCAGTTTCCCTCAGTGTATCTCATCAATGTGAAGCAACAATGGAGAGAGACAGATTGAAACTTTAAAGAATACATGAAAAGGGATAGAAACGGAAAAGAGAAAAAGAATTGATGGGGATCCCGTGATTCAAAAGGTAAGGAAAGAATGAATGTGAATGTTAGAGTTAGAAACGGAATTGCTTTAGGGAGAAAGCAAGGTTTTTACAGAGAAGGTATGGAGAGTAAAGAGAGTATGTGGACGAAGAAAGAAGAAGAAGAAGAGAGTACAGGAAAGAAAAGAGCTTTTTCTTCACTTACTGGGTTCACGAGACAGCTCTCTCTCTCGCGCCCTGCCTCCATTTACTCCCTCTCTCTACTTATTTTCGCTATCTACTTATTTTCTCTCTCTTAAAGTGCATTAATTTATATTTTTGGTTGAAGAAATCAGAGATACAACCTATACCCCACTCTCGTTAAAGGACTGTGCAAGGTTGGCACGGTCCTTCATTATGAAATTTATCTCATGTATTTAATTTATTTCTTTGGGACATCAAGAAAGTTTTACAAAATTAGTTTATGTTGAACTTTATTTTTCGTCACACGTAATTTTGTGTCTAAAACATTGGAAGGTATTTAAAAAGTGGTTCTAATGTTTGTTTTTGTTTTGGTTTCTTTGCTTGCAAGAATAGAATCATAAAAATTAAACTAGAAGAATTCATAATATATACGTGACTAAAGAGCGTGTGTAAGGTATTAGAATATAGGTGCGAGCGACCTTATCCGTTCTTTGTATTACGGAAATCTCATGTAATTGGGAATTTAAAAAGTCAAGAATACTCGAGATTATACTCATAAAAAATCGACGTAAAGTCAAATATAATTAATGATATTTACGTAAAGAAAAATATCATGCTCTAAGATTTTCATAATCCTTGCAAACTTGTTTTTAAAGTATTTTTGATAAAATCGCAATTGCGTCAGATTATATTGTATTTAATGATTAAAATGCTTGATGTGTGAGTTGTTGGGAAATTATTGACTATTTAATTTTTAGATATTTGATAAAGATTCAAAGATAATTAGTAATACTTGCGTAAACTTTTGCTCTAATGGTTTCATTATCTTTGTGCTCGTTTTGAAAATATTGTCAATAAATTGCGGTCGTGTGATATTATATTTAACTTGACGATACAATTGAGGCATTGTTTTTATGTAATAAGATATTATAATTCCAATTTGGACTTAGGGATAATATGAATTGTTGAGCAAATATCAAATACTAAATTTTCAGACATGTACGTACTCTCATTGAAGGATTGGGGAGACTGGCATTGGCCTTCATTGGGAAATTTGGTATGCATGTTGTGTATTTTTTAATAAGTTAGATTAAATTCTATCCAAAAATTAAATTATTGTACTGTTATTAAGTAGAGTTTTATACCATGTACTAAATATGCATTTGTAAAACGAGATCAAGAATTGGAAAAATTGTCAAAGGCAAGCTTTTGAAAAAAATAGGGTTTGTTGAAATTCATTTTTAGCACAAATGTTGTGTGTCCAAAATGTCAAAAGACATTTGAAAAGTGGTATAGAGATTTCTAATGTTTGTTTTTTGTTTTGGTTTCTTTGCTCGCAAGAATAGAACCATAAAAAATAAAAAAACTGAACTACTAGATTTCATAATATATACGCGCATATTTGGATGTGCGTGCACGTGTTTTGCACTTATTTATGAGTCTGTTTGGGAACGATTTTTTCACCCAAAAAATTAAATTTTTGACCGTTATTTTACTATTTTAGCCGTCATATTTGACTTATTCTCTCACAGGTGAACCCCACTTTTTTTCTAACGATCAAAAAATCAATTCTTAAAATCACTCCCAAATAAGCTCTATCTATTGTCTACAAGTCAAACCACTTTTTATGCGTTCATTTTGTGTGACTTACATGTACTATTTACTTATACACTACATATTTATATTTATTTATAATGTAAACCGATTATATACAACTCCAAATATGCTTGTGTAATGTGTTAGAATTTGAATGCATCTTTGACCAATCATTGGATTACACGGATGTAGTGTAATAAAAATTTATAAGGTCAAGATTGTCCAAGCTCTATCTATTGTCTACAAGTCAAACCACTTTTTATGCGTTCATTTTGTGTGACTTACATGTACTATTTACTTATACACTACATATTTATATTTATTTATAATGTAAACCGATTATATACAACTCCAAATATGCTTGTGTAATGTGTTAGAATTTGAATGCATCTTTGACCAATCATTGGATTACACGGATGTAGTGTAATAAAAATTTATAAGGTCAAGATTGTCCGAGATTATGCTCATAAATATTTGTATCTACAGTTGAGGATAATTAATAATATTTATGTAAAGTCTATCATATTAATAGTTTCATTGTCCATGCAAAGTCTTTTGAAAGTATTATTGATAAAATTGTGATTGCATAAGATAAGATTGTATTTGATGGTACATAACATTTGTTTTCTATTCAAAATTATAATTGGATTTTCAATATTTTTGTGCTCGTTTTGATAATATTATCGATAAAATTATGATATCACAATATTATATTGAACTTAATGATACATAAAATTATCATTGCCCAACATTTTTTCTTCTTAACAATGGAGCTATTGTTTTCTATGTAATGAATATTATGATTCCATTTCGACTCTCATCGAAGGATTGTGCACGGTTGGCATGGTCCTTCGTTAGGGAATTTATCTCGTAAGTGTGTTAAAAATAATTAGAATAACATTTCATTGAATAACATAGAAAATATATAAATTGACAAAGGTACATGAAAATTTTACAATATTAGGGTATATTGAAATTTGTTTTTCATCGTAAATACTTTTTGAGTCCAAAATGTCTAAAGACATTTGAAAAGTGGTTCTAATGATTGTTTTGGTTTCTTTGCATGCAAGAATAGAATCATAAAAATCAAATTAGAAGAGTTCGTAATATATAAGTTAAAATGTGCGTGTATGGTGTTAGAATTCATATGTGACTTTGATTGTTCATTGAATGACGGTGATCCCGTGTAATAAAAAATTTTAAAGTCAAGATTACTTGAGATCATGTTCATAAATATTTGAATTGAAAGTCGATATTTACATAAAATGCACCGTGCTCTAAGATTTTCATTATCCGCGCAAACTTGTTTTGAAAGTGTGATTGATAGAATCACGATTACATCATTGTATTTAATGATACATAATTTGTACTCAAAGGGCAATTTTTCTTATAAGAATTGAGCTATATTTATTGTTCTTTGGAATTATGACTATGGTGTTTACTATGAATTGTTAGGTAATTATTGAAATTTTAATTTTAAGATATTTGATCAATAATTAATAACACTTGCATAATATTAATTAATGTCAAGCAAATATCAAATATTGATTACTCGATATTGAAGGACAGCGGAAGATGGGCATTGCGCTTAATTAGGAAATTTTGGCATGTGTTTTGTGTATGTTTCAACAAAAATAAATTATTGTACAATTATTAAGTAGAGGTTTGTAGCAATCTATGAAACCTGCCTTTTCGATTTCCACTCACGTGAACCAGAATTTTATTTTATGTACCGAAGATCCACATCTATATACCATTTTTCAATTTGTACACACATAAATATTCAAGTCGAGACTCGTAGATAAATGTGTTTGTGGGCATTGCACGAGCAAAATATTCAAATCATAATTATAAAAAGAAAGCTTATTTTGAACAACTTAAAATGGACTCTATTATTTTATTCATCACAGTTAGAATAGTGCATGATATAAAGTTAACGTTCAGTAAAGTATGGAAATCTTGAGTATTACAACCTTTTCATAAACTTAAGAAGTCGGCCATTCATGGATTTAAGAATTTATGATTGTTCGTAATTTTGTCCATTACTATTGGCGAATTATTCATAAATATTTGTTTCAGAATCAAAGATACTTACATAAAATATATCAAACTCTAAGATTTTCATTATCCTTGCACTCTAGTTTCGAAAATATTATTGATGAAATTATACTTAATGATGCATAAAATTTACTCAGTGTACAATTATACAAATGATTGAGCTATTGTTTTATAATTAAGAAAATATTATAATTGAATTTTCGACTTTGGTGTGTAATTCATATAATTGTAACTTTTAGACATGTTACGCCACAAATAAATATTTTATCGAGAGTCAAGAACAATTAATAATACTTATGTAACATATATACAGTATGCTTTGAGATTTTATATTCACGCATGCTTGTTTTAAAAAGTATTATTGGTAAAATCGTTGATACAACGCTCTTGTTCGGTCCCCATTCCATATAAACTCATTTTTTTAAATTCATTTTCAACCCTGAATTCTTTTAGGGGTTGTTTGGGAGTGATTTTGAGAATTGATTTTTTTATCGTTAGGAGAAAAGTGGGGTCCACCTATGAGAGAAAAAGTCAAATAAGACGACTGGAATAGTGAAATAATGATAAAAAAATTAATTTTTTTGGTAAAAAAATTGGGCCCAAACAGGCCCTCAATAAAATAATTTTGTACATAAACCTAATTTTTTGAAATACTTTTCAATTACACATATCCTAAAAATCACTATTACAAAAACGGGGCTTAAAGCTACAAAAAGTTTTACTCATTGTATGTCATTTTTCGTTTATAGATAATTGAGCTATTATTTCCTACTTGAGAGAATATTATAATTGAATTTTCCACTTTGGTGTAATATGAATTGTGGGGCAAAACATTGACTATTTAAATTCTTAGATAGGTTAATCCACCCATCCTACAAAAATAGGTGGCTCGAAATTAGGGCGCACAAATAGATATCTTTTATACAATCACATTATTTAATTTAAGGTGTGATTCTCAAACTATACTCTTTGTAGAGAGTGCGCAATAGCATTATCTTTGTTTATTTAATGTGATCTTTTCGAGTTCTATTATTAATATACATTTGAGTAAATTGAAGGGTGAAGATTGACATGTTACGTAGGCAGAACTCATATAAAATATCCTTATTTGGAAGGCTTTCATCTTATTCTTGTAGTGGAATTTGTAAAATAGATTTGCGAGGAATTCATTCATTTATGTGAATTGTAACTAAGTCCATGTTTGATTCCCATTTTTTCCTCATTAAAATGAAAAAATATGATCGTTATTCATCACATCAAGCCATCAAATTTGAATTTCGATCTCTTGAGTGGGGTTCGAAACGACTATATTTTACATTCTCATTCTTTCAAAATTGGGAAATAAACTGGGGGCCAAATATCTACATATATGAAATCAATTCTATTAATATCGCATACATACCATGGGGATATACTACATGGATTAAAAATAGACGTCAAAATTTATTCTCCCCGTTTAAATTACACAATAAATAAATATAGCGTGGGA